GGTTGACTCAGGCAGCCCCTGCTCAAATTCAGTTTTTCCCTTTGCTGGCCAGGTGCCAGGCCGTCGGCTTTCAACCACGACACTCACAGATCTGCAAGGCTTTTCCCTGCAGCCAATTAACGCTTGCTTCCAGCAAGCCCTGACCCCAAAGCAACTGCGTTTAAAAAAGCACTGCTCCAACACTCTGCGCCACACACATGTCGCGCATCGTCCCGCGCAAAAATAAGCATGAGCTAATCACCCTTGCAAGGATACAGCAAACTCCTTGGCCAAGTTTTTGGCCAAGTCATCCAGCACCTCATCAGTAGAATTCCGGAACTCCTCATTCTGCTTGCAGAATTTCCAGAACGTGTCCTGCCACGGAAACATAAAAATCCTGAATGCAGAGGCGTCGCAGAGGCAGCTGGAACAAAGAACATTGAAAAAATCAATGGTTGACGGTTTCCATTCATGGTCCTCATTCTTGGAACGCTTTGGGTAATTCCCAAGGTTGGCGCCGAAAGCATTCTTAATGGCAGTCCACTCAAGCAAAGCACGCGCAGCTGCAGGTGGGTTTCGACGGGCAAAGCTGACAGCAACCTTGGCAACCTTGGGACCACCTGTCTCCTTTGGGGCAGGCCTCTTCTTGGGGCCTTCAACCTTCGGGGCACTGTGCTCATCAGACTGGTTTGCGATTGGGCGGGATGGTGTCCTCGGAGGAGTGGCCTGGGAATCGGTGGGAACCTTCTTGGTGCCTTTAGCCTTAGCCTTTGCTTTCGACTTAGCTGTTGCTTTTGCCTTTGCTGGCTGCTTGGGTTTGCTGGCTGCTTTGGCCTTTGCCTTTGCCTTTGCCTTAGCTTTGCTTTTTGGCTTTCTAGCCTTTGGCCTACCAGGACCCCTCTTCCGTTTTGGTGGGTTTTCCTGATCCTCATCCTGATAGCCTCTCTTGGCCTGGAACTGTTCGATCCTGGAAGTTGGCTCCTGACAGGCCAACATGTATATGAAGCACAGACTGAACACAACATGTGCAATAAGTGCAATATGCGTTTTCAAGGCTGGCATGCCTGGTGCTCCATGGCATCGATCATAGGCTCTTCCACGGGTTCTTGTGGACCCTGGCCGCCCAAACCCGCTGAGGTGGCAGGATCAACATCAGCTGGTGGATTGGAAGGCTCTGCGGATGGCAGTTGTTTGGAGCGGTCAGCGGAATCCTCTCCTAGGATCAGAGTCGGTGCCCTCAAAAGTTCCTCAGTGGGGTCAACATCAGGAACAGGGAGTTTGCCATCCCCATCCAAAGCTATGGAGGCGCCGACATCGAAGGGCAAAGTGTCCACTACATCCGGATGTCCTGCCAGGGGCATAAATCCAAGCCCAAGCATGACGTTCAGCACGTATGAAACATGATAATCTGATAATCCCACATGTAACATGATAAGTCACCATGCAGCATCAGCCAGGCCTGCAAGCAGCGGTACCTCTGGCTGACGTGGCTCACGGGGCTGTAGTCGAGCAGCCTGGATAGCTTGGATCCGTTGCCTGAGGCAGCAGGGAAGGGAAACCCCACAAAAACGATCAAAAAAGAATACAATTGATATCATGTTTCAATGTAGCAAATATATGTCAGGGTACAAGATGGCTTGACGTTGCGAAAGCAAAGCATCCAAATCCACAGGTGCTGGCGCCGGTTCATCCACATGAGCTGGGGTTGGGTCAGCCCTGGCCAGTTCACCCACATGAGCAGGGGCTGGTTCATCCCTGGCTGGTTCATCC